AAGTTGTGCAAATAAGTTACTTTTAATTAAAAATGTTTGATTGTCTAATTTGTCATTTAGAAATTATGTACAATTATTTATCTTTTTTTTTTTCTAAAAAATCCTAAGTATTTAAATAAAAAATTACAAAAATAAATTTATCCTACCTAAACAAAATACTAAATTTTACTAATGCATTTTCAAGTAACTATATAGCCAAACAATTAAGAATAGCTAATTTTATTAAATACTCTTTTACAAACCGCTAACACAATCAATTAGTCAAAACAACTAACGCAATCCGCAAGCCAAAACATATAATGTAATCCACTAGCAATTAACAATTGATTACCAAATAAGTCATTTTTCCAAATTGAACTAATCTAACTTTTTTATCCCAAATCATACTTAAAATCAGATCGGAAGAACTATTTTACTTTGATCGGTTAATCGAATTAACTACAAGAATAGAAATGTGGGTATTGTAGTTTATAACACACACATATATATATATGTACATAATTTATTTTTAACCATTTTTATTTAATAGTTAATTTACTATCACTGAAAATAATATATATATATTATTATATATTTGTTATGTCATTTGTTTGATTTGGTTAATAAAAATATATTAAAAATAAAATCAAAATGAACCGAAATAACAAAAAAAAAAAATTAATATCCGAATCGACATAATAAAAATGAACCAAATTTAAAATTTTAATTGTTTATTTCAATACACCATTATTACTTCTTTAACGCGGAACAAATAAGACAGGTTGTTTAAGTTTAATAAAAAAAAATAAAAATCCGTTCCAAAATCAACACACGCATATGCTTCTTGAATGGAATCGCTTCGTAATATTTAATTAATTATATAATTGTTTGAAAAAATTATAGTGTTAGTCTTACTATCTATTACTATATAATACGGAGAAGAAAAATTATTTGAACAATTCGAAAATAATCATTTCGTTTTCCCGCTTTTTCAATTGGTAAATTTTTTTTTTGAATTTTTTCAGCCCATACAATTAGGTAACCAATCAAATCGAATATTTTAGCATTCAATTTGGTAAGGTGTTCCGATTTTAGCATTCAAATCCAATTTCACTTCCTTTTTTTATGCCAATCAATCCGATTTTTTGGTTGTTTCAAAATTTGTTTAGATTTATATTTTTATTTTATTAATATATTTGAAAGAGAATCAATAAATGTTTATCATAACTTTTATTTTAAAAATAAACGAATAAGCATACCTTTTACTTTATATGAAATTCAAAATTATATATTTTAATATATTAATAAACGTTTATTATTTATTTTTTCCTTATGTGATATAATAAAATTTCGGTATTAAATTTGTAAATTCAAACATTTAAAGGAAAAATATAAATAATTATATTTAAAATAAAGTCTAAAAAATGTTTAAAATATGAACTCTTCCGTGCATCGCACGGGATATACACTAGTATATATCTAGAGTGTTTAAAGTTGATAATTTCTACTTACACAGATCTGAAATATTATACTGCATTAATTGATGCATTAGCCTTTTGCACAAATGTTAATCTACTTAAATCTTACTAGTGTGTAGCCCGTGCGATGTACGGGTAAACAATATTAAATAATAATTATAAATTAACGATGATAGTAAACAATATTAACTAATAATTATAAATTAAATATGAGGGTAAATAATATTAACTAAAAATTGTAATTAATTTGTGGAGTTAATACGTGACATAATTTATCGTATATCAGTTGTAAACAATATAAAATTATCTTGTATGAAATAATATAAAAAATGTATGTTTAAAATATTAAAAACACCTAAAATATTATATAACGTATGTGAAGTATCTAAAATTTTATATATCATTATTGAAAGATGTGAAGTCACCTAAAATATTTCTAAACTATTTTATAAATAAAACATGTAGTCCATGTATCTCCTGTTAGTCAGACCGAGTTATGTTCGCAGATAATTTTGTTCGATTTACAGTTCTAGTCACCCCCCGCCTCCCTCCAAATTTTTTTCTAGATCCGTCCCTGATTTTAAAATTTTTATTACCTTTTGAAGTGAGATTTTATAAATATAGAGCCTGAGATTTTAATGTTCTTCATTATTTCTGTAAAAAAAAATTAAAAATACACACTTAATAGATCTTAGCTGAAATTTTTAAATAATAAAATGAATTAAAGCCCAAAATTTAATGCAACATTTAATGTTGTATGATTTTTTAAAAATAAAAATAAAAAAATAATAAAACTTACTATTTATAGGTTGCATTAAATTTTCTCCTATTTTTTTGCTACTATTTTTGTTAAATGTTAATTCTTATTATATATATAAATTAAAACAACACAAAACACACTACGTAAGCTTCGCATTAATCCACTTCTATAATCTTATTACATCATAGCTTTCCCCTAATTATCATTAACAAACGTCTTAATTTTTTAAAAAATCACTTGCTGGATTCAACCGAGCTGTCATGTCATGTTTCCTTTTAGTCAGCTTATTATTTTTACACTCTTGTGAACAAATTTTCCGTTATTTGTTTATTATATGCTTTTTCATCACCCCCAATTTCCTGCCTTTTGTCAGTGGTGAGCGAGCTAGCTAACACAGTCACTCACTCAACCAGTGCTTGCTCAAGCTCTACATACAACAGCTGTATATATATATATATACACACACACCATCTGCTACTCACACACATTATTCTTGTCAAACTCACAGACTGAGTGACAGAGATAATCACATTCTGCCCTCAGATTCCTACATTTTGCACTNGCATATATGCAATTTTTGAGGGAGGTAATTGTTGATTAGAGGCTTGAAACATGAAATGTGGTTCGATTTCGAAGTGGGTTTTTTGTTTTTTCATTGTGGTGGTGTTTTTTGGTTGTGAGCTTGTGAAGTGTAGTGTGACTTATGATAAAAGGGCCTTAATTATCAATGGGCAAAGAAGGATTCTCTTTTCTGGCTCCATACATTACCCCAGAAGCACACCTGAGGTACTAATGCAGGATGTTTCTCTTGTTTTAGTTCTATTTTTTTATTAATGCATCTTCTTTTACACTTATTTGTTTCTTTATTATGAGATTTGTGTTCTTTTGCTGGTTTTTGTAATAGATGTGGGAAGATCTGATAAATAAGGCTAAGGATGGAGGGGTTGATGTGATTGAAACTTATGTATTCTGGAATGTTCATGAGCCTTCTCCTGGCAAGGTAGTATTCTTGTAATGTTTTGGAGGATAAGTGACCTTTTTTTGGGCTATTTTTTGCTCAATTTTGGGGTTAAAGAACATTTTTGTAATTTTTTGTTTGTGGATTTTAGTATGATTTTGAAGGCAGATATGATCTGGTGAGGTTTGTGAAGACCATACAGAAAGCAGGGTTATATGCTCATCTCCGAATTGGGCCCTATGTATGTGCAGAGTGGAATTTTGGGTAAGGAATCTTGTTTAGTTTAAGACTTCAAGTCATCAACTCATCATAGAAACACACATACACACACATTGTGAAGTAGTTCGACTGTTATGCATAAACCGCGCTTTACGATAAATTCGTGTAGTAGAAGCCAACAATGCTTGAGAACTATAAGTTTGATATTTGCTTAGATAAACTAAATTTTTTTGAATCATCTCTTCCTGTGCTTTTGCTCTTTTATTCTATATGCATTTTAGAAACATAAACAAAAATTTGCTGTTCAAAACACTTAAATATACCCTTCTATGTATGTGCAGGGGATTTCCAGTTTGGCTGAAGTATGTACCAGGGATTAGCTTTAGGACGGATAATGAACCATTCAAGGTTGTCTTATCATTCCCAACTATTATTTTTCTTCATTATTTGATTATTGGTTTACTAATGATGCTTCTTTAATAAAATCATCGATAGAATTTACACCATACAGACAGTAAAATTTTTAGTTGCTAATGATGAATTCCTAGCAAATTTTGCTTAATTACTTTTCTACTACTATGGGTTACAATTTGGATTTGATGTAATATAAATGTTTACAATTTTATTCAGATGGCTATGAAAGGGTTCACGGAGAAAATTGTGAACTTGATGAAGAGTGAAAATCTGTATGATTCTCAGGGTGGCCCCATTATACTCTCCCAGGTTTTGTTCTGAGTCTCATAATTATGTATTTGTAAGGGTTGTGAATTATAAGCGCTGTAATTAACTGAAGAGTGAATTGCTGAGTGATAATAGCGTGTGTTTATTATGCAGATTGAAAATGAGTATGGTCCACTAGGGAAGCAATATGGTGCCTCTGGACAGAAGTATTTGAATTGGGCAGCAGATATGGCCGTTAAATTAGATACGGGAGTTCCTTGGGTGATGTGTAAGGAAGATGATGCTCCTGATCCAGTGGTAAGTATAAGTATTTGTCTTGCCTTTTTTTTTTTTTTTAAATTGAATTCAGATTATATGACCTTAACAACTCCTTCAGTTCCTCTGGAAAGTGAAAGTTACCTAAAATTTGAAGTATACATTTCAGTTCTGAAGCTCGGTTGATTTACCTTTTATAACTCATTCGCTGCTGTTTTTGGCAGATTAACTCATGCAACGGTTTTTACTGTGATGCTTTCACCCCGAACAAACCTTACAAACCCATGATTTGGACCGAGGCTTGGACTGGCTGGTTAGTGAATTTTTTTTCCACCTCTTCTCAATTTTCAGTTTTCAAATACTAATAAGTTGTTTTATTTACTAGCTCATTATTATATCTGCATTGCATATTAAATCAGGTTTACAGATTTTGGTGATCCAATCCATCAGAGACCGGTAGAGGATTTGGCCTTTGCTGTAGCTAAATTCATACAAAATGGGGGCTCATTTGTTAACTACTACATGGTTTGTTTACGAGATTCATGGCTTTCTTGAATAAGCTTTAACATTCTTTGTGTACATAAAATGATGTAATAAACTTTGCTCATTTGCTGTCTGTACAGTATCATGGAGGCACAAATTTCGGTCGTTCGGCTGGAGGACCTTTTGTTACCACGAGCTATGATTATGATGCTCCACTTGATGAATATGGTAATCTTAACTTTTCTCGTTTAAGCTCTATTTTCCTGTAACGTTGTTCACCCAATAAAACCTTCTTGTTTCTCCCTGTTACCACGTGGTGGCTTGAAACTGTTCATTTGGTTTAAGATCCTGGTTGAGAATATTTCGATACAAATGCTATATAAACTAGTATAGTTCGGCGAGATACTTTTATCTTTACAGGTACTACATTTGAACTTTTAGCTTTTATGGTTACAATTTACAAATACCCCTTCTTATGTGTATTCAAATTTGCAAATGAACCTATGCTGGTGTTTTGTACAACAAATACAAACCTCGTGGCTGCATTCATCATTAAGAAAAAAAAATGGATTTCATGTGGTTTTAGTAATTGTCCTATATTCTGTAAGTTTGAATTATATTCATGTGGTGTTAGTGATTACCATTGTTTTATAAGTCATAGTTGGCGAGGCTTTTGATTCTTGATTTTAGCTTTAACCGTGAAATTCTTGTATGACTCTCGTTTTACTTGAAAACCCAACTGAACACGCAAGCTTCTCTGAACTTGATAGGTTTTCTCAGACAGCCTAAACATGGTCACCTAAAAGAGCTGCACAAAGCAGTTAAACTCTGTGAGAAAGCTCTGGTTTCAGCAGACCCCACAGTGAATTCATTAGGAAGCCTTCAGCAGGTTTCTNTTTTTTTTTTTTTTTTCGGCTCCATTCATAAGTATATATACTCATGCTGTTGTGAACTCAACTGTCCCCCTGAACATTTCGAAAAATTTTCAGGCTCATGTATATTCCTCAAAATCAGGAGATTGTGCGGCCTTTCTTGCGAATTATGACAGTAACTCTGCAGCTAAAGTCTTGTTCAATAACGAACATTATAGCCTGCCTCCTTGGTCAATCAGCATTCTCCCGGATTGCCAGAATGTAGTCTTCAATACAGCCAAAGTACGTATATATTTTAGAAAAATAATAATTTGGTTATAAAGAAAGCTCTTAAAAAGGGGGAAAAAAATGCAAATATATAGTTTTTTAGTTAACCACTTTCTTTTCCTCTTCTTCACAGTTTGGTTAAATCTCAAGTGTAGTTAATATAGCTAACCACTTTCATATAATAAACTACTACGCTTGAACATTTTCCCTTCACGTCAAACTTAGTTTTATTTGTTCTGAAAAATAGGTTGGAGTCCAAACATCACGTTCGGACATGTTACCTACAAATACTGAAATACTCTCATGGGAAACATATAATGAGGATCTGTCTTCATATGACGACCACTCGGCATTTTCAGCACTTGGTCTTTTGGAACAGATCAATGTCACTAGAGACACTAGCGATTATCTGTGGTACACTACGAGGTAGTGTTTTTCTTTTTATCTGTGAATCTTTATATAAGAAGTTAACAAGAGATGTAATTTAAAAGATTTAATACAAAACTACCCTCGAATTTTAGCGTCACTATAAATAGAGGTCCACTTATTACAATTACCCCATTGAAAGCTTACAAAACCACTCATGAAGTTTAGCCACTTACTACAAGCATCCGATTGACTTTTGTTTCTTTTTTTCCAAATTGCTTAAATGCTTACCTGGAAGATTTAATGATATAAAGTTCTCTCTCTCTCTCTCTCTCTCTCTCTCTCTAGTGTTGATATTGATTCATCAGAGAGATTCTTGCATGGCGGAGATTATCCAACCCTTATTGTGCAGTCTGCCGGTCATGCTCTGCATGTTTTCGTGAATGGAGAGCTTTCTGGTAAGACTCTCGCATGGAATTTATTTTATAGCCCAACAGATTCAAAAAAGAAAAACTGGCTTATTTATTACATTTGTTAGCTCACTTGGAACACATATTTTTCTTTGTTGTCCAGGTTCTGCATTTGGGACACGGGAGCATAGGAGAGTTATGTTCAAAGATAAAGTCAACCTACGTGCTGGATCGAACACGATCTCACTACTGAGCGTGGCTGTTGGGCTGCCGGTTAGTTCTAAATTATCACTTTTATCCTTTTTAATGCATGGATGATGTTATTGCAAGCTGACATAGCTAGTTACTCAATTTGATTTTTAGTGGTTGATATATAAGGGTTAACTACAAAAAAANAAAAACTGTCGATAATTTAAAACTACAAATACCTACGCACCCGTCAAGAGGGGTGTACGTGAGGCAACTGCAAATGTCTTCATTATAAATGATAGCTTGATTCTTTATTTTAACGGGGATAGTTGTTGAGTGACTTGAGTCATCTCTTTGTGTTTAGTGCAATTTTGAGTTTTACCATTTAATTTTTTAATTTACAATGGGGTTTAGAACATTTAAGATCCCAAAATTTTGGTCCGTGTATACTTAAGGTGCTTCAGTTTGATTACAGAAAATGAAACAAACTGAATATAAAAGTCAGTCAGTTCAAAACGACAAATCTCCTTGATATTTGTGTGCAGTTTACGAGTTGCACTCAAGTTACACTTTTCTGTATGAGATGGCCTAATTGTTAGGCCCGGCCATACTTTCTTAACATGAATGCATACTTGTGCTATGAAATGTCATACCTTTGTTAATGTTGTTTTTTAGAGTATATCAGATTTCAGTTTGAATCTATGTATATTTGTTGAAACAGTATGGTTGTGTAACTATTAGGCGTTAGCCTTATTGTTGTCAAACATATATACCCGTTGGAGGATTCTATATTGAATTCAGCCCACTATATTTTTCTGCTCTAAAGTTAAACCCCAGAAATAACTCTGGAATTCAACCTGCCACTTTTTAAAGGCATTTTTTTTTTTCAACTCTCTTACATTCTTTCTCATCTTTCCATTAAAGAACGTCGGGGGACATTTTGAGACATGGAACACTGGGATTCTGGGCCCTGTTGCATTGCGTGGGCTCGACAAAGGAAAATTGGATTTGACTTGGGCAAAATGGACATACCAGGTGTGACACATCTTAAAACATCTCGGTTTTCCACTTAAACATTGTAATTTCCAGTAAAACATTGTAAATTCCTCCTCTTGAATAGGTCGGGCTCAAAGGAGAAGCCATGAATCTCATCTCCCCAGATGGTGTTTCTTCAGTCGACTGGATGAAAACTTCACTAATTGCACAAAACAAGCAGCCTTTAGCGTGGCACAAGGTGCATTACAATTTGTGGGGCAAACTCTCAAGAGATGCTAGTTAACAAGAGACGTGGATTATGGATCATCTTTTTTAAATTTTGACTCTGTTTGCAATTTCTGCAGGCTTATTTTGATGAACCGGATGGTAATGAGCCGTTGGCTCTGGACATGAGTAGCATGGGGAAAGGTCAACTGTGGGTCAACGGTCAAAGCCTCGGACGATATTGGACTATTTATGCTGCTGGTAATTGTGATGCGTACAGTTACACGGGCATTTTCAAGCCGACCAAGTGTCAAATTGGGTGTGGACAATCAACTCAGAGATGGTAATTCTCCAACTCAATTTCTTTTTTCTTTTTTTAACAAAAAATAGTCTCCAACTCCAAGAACTTACCTTTTTTATACTGCTGGATTTTGAATAGGGCTTGAGTGGATATAAGTTTTTTTTTATTAGATTGTTGGTTAACCAGAGTTAATTTTGAAAAGTTGGTTGGACTAAGTTTGAGTGGGATTTTGAGTTCGTATTAAAATAACATTTAAAAACAAGAGAGATGTGATTAAGAGTGATGAGTAGTTAAAATTATGTGAGTGGATGAATAGTTAATTAAAATTGATGTGACGTTTAAGTTTGATTGATTGGTATTATCTAATTATGCTGATAATATTGAGGATAGTGAGGTTAAGCTAAATTTGAGTTAGATTTGAGTTGTGATCAGACTTTTGTAAAATAAAAACTTATATCCAAGCATGCACTTAATAATTACAAATTATTTCTACTGATAGAAATGCTCTCTCAGGTATCATCTACCACGGTCTTGGTTAAAACCGTCACAAAATCTTATCGTGCTCTTCGAAGAACTCGGTGGAGACCCCACGAAAATCAATCTCGTCAAGAGATCAGTCACAAGCGTCTGTGCAGATATCTCCGAATATCATCCAAATTTCAAGAACTGGAAAACTGAAGGCTACGGCAAAACAACACAAGACTTTCACAGACCTAAAGTAAGGCTTCATTGTGGGCCCGGACAATCGATTTCGTCGATCAAGTTTGCTAGTTTTGGTACTCCATCAGGAACATGTGGGAGCTTTCAGCAAGGAACTTGCCATGCTCCTGATTCGCATTCTATCCTAGAGAAGGTATTTTTTATTTCTTCACCTTTATTTTATCAATTTTATTTTTCTTTAAGTCCAAGGGAACTGATAATAATCTAATAAATGTTTGCAGAAGTGCATTGGGCTACAGAGATGCTCGGTAGCTATTTCAAACACTAATTTCAGAAAAGATCCTTGCCCTAACGTGCTAAAACGGCTATCAGTTGAAGCCATTTGTGCCCCTTCTAATCAACATGCACAATTGTATGCAAAGGAAGATGGCAAAAAATGAATATTGTACGATTTGCATAGGAATCTATAAGTATAAGCATGCATTTTTTTTTTTTTTAAGCATGATTTTTTTTTTTTTTTTTTTTATGCATTGAATGTCTCCAGCATGACATTGTAGAATTTTCTTGAGAGTTCCACTTATGTGAGCAGCATGAGACAGAAAATATCAAGGTTTGTTTTGCAAGACTTAAAAATAGTAAAATATTTTTAGGCGCTGGTTACTGGCTCGAGATGCTTGGCTATGGTTTGCTGAAGCTCTTCTTTCTTTGCCCCGAGAACCCTATCCAAAATCTTCCCTTCTTTCAGGAAGATGAAAGTTGGCATGGCTTCCACTGCCCAGTCCTGAGCAACTGACTGCAAAAAGGGGAAATATTTTTAAAGAGAATATAGTTAAAATATAGAGGTAAACAATGGCTGACACAATGCGATTTAGAAACACAGACAGGAAAAACATGAAATAAAAATTTAGTTAAATTCAGACATATTATCGTATTTGTGATCAAGTAAAATAGATAATATTGAAACACGATAGTTAAGTATGTACACACACGTGATAGCAAGATTTGCCACCTGAATTAAAATATGAAAAAAGAAAAGAAAAACAATAGAACTAAGAAATCAAGATAGTTACAGCCTGATTCCAAGTTGTCTTATAAAATTATAGATGCTAACCCACACATTGTAAAAGACAGATAAACAAGGGTAAATTGTATTTTGAGAACACTAAGTTATATTATAGAATTGTAAATGCTAACCCCAAAGAGTTATAAACATTTTCTCAATTTTGATAGAAATGCACATTGTCAAAGGGGATACACAAGGGTAATTTGTAATTTTGAAAAGTACTGGGTTCTCCTGTAAATTGTAGTTATGCTAAGGGTAATTTGTAGTTTTGAAAAGTACTGGGTTCTCCTGTAAATTGTAGTTATGCTAAGAACTCATGATGATTTTTTGAAGTTAATTGTGAAAAGAAAAATGACACCAAACTAACTATGCTAATATTTATTATTCATCAAAATTACCTTCAATTCATCCACATCCACCTTGAGGAAGGTGACATTGGGGAATTTCTTTGCAAGTTCAGCAAAAAATGGAGCAATGAAACGGCAAGGTCCACACCAGGAAGCAGTGAAATCCACAACTATCTGCATTTTTCCAAATCAAAATATAAATAAAATAAAATAAACTGATAAGAATAATAAGGGCCTCTAAATGAAATGCAGATGGTAGAGTTGTGAAGTCTGAAATTCCCAGATTTGAGAATGAACATCTCCCTATTTTATGCAAGAACCATTAACAAAAGTATTGCCTGAACTGCAATTTGTTATAATCTTGGCACTATACTATATCCAGTTAATCATTTTTTTAACCAACTAAACATTAGAGTATTTGCACTGGCAATGCATTATGCTACCTGCTAATTGATCCAAAAACTCATCAAATCACAAACATATATATTTCCTCAACAGCAAACAGATAGTAGCAAATACAAGAATTTAGCTACTAATGATAGCTTAAAAGATGGTCACAATGTGTCATCTTCAATAAAAAATGGTCACATTAATAAAACAAACATTAAATTTTGTTAACAAATGTGTATACTAATTTAAAAGTAACATATCATACTCTAAGAAATCACATAAACAAATATGTGACATGCCATAACATTTTGTAACAGTTATGCCGCCTAATAGAATATTGTCTAAAATTTAAAAAAAAAAAAAAACAACAACAACAACAAGAAGAAGATAAGATTTTTAAAATGACTATAACAATGCACAACACACATGCAAATCATGTTGAAAACCACTCACAACCCAGACTATTCAACCCATCAAGGTACATTTTACTTTACCCAAATCTAGTTCATACAGAATAATCTGCCAAGTATTTTTTTTCAAGATGTGAAATCTCATTATTCAAACCAAAAGATTAATATTTCAGAAAAAAACCGTGGCATAATTAAATTTACAGATGAACAAACACACACAGAAGTGTAAAACTGTAAACATAAGAACAGATCTCGAGAATCAATTCAATTAGCAAATAATACAACAGATCCTCCATTCCCAGTAATAAAAAAGAAAAATGAAATGAAAAAATTACGGATCAAACAATCCAACAATTCATTCGGAAATAACAGCAAAAAATATTCTTAGAAAAAGGGAAAACCTACCAGTTTCTTGTTGTCATTTCCCTTCTGAATGTGTTCGTTCCAGGCATCAATGGTGTGGCAACCGATAACCTGTCCTTCAGCTTCCGACGACGACGCCATTTTCTTTTTGCTTTTTTCTTTATTTTTTTCTTCTCTCTTAGACTTAGCCAACAAGAAAACGCTTTTTTCTGCTCTTGAGTCGAGGCGTTTGATATTCTCTCTGTATTTATAAAATAAAATAAGTGGATATATGCATGGAATATGGGATTGGTACAGCTGTGACTTATTCTTTTTTATTTTTCTAAACATTTACTCCAAAAATATAATCTAATCAACCTGTTTTTTTACGACAATATAATATTATAATCTACAAATCCTATTTTGTATTATTATATATAATCTGTAAACGTTAATGATACAAGTAATATTCATATGTATTATAAAATTATACATATTTATTAAATTTGGTCACAAATTAACACGATTTAAGTAATTTTCCTTTTAAGCAAAATAACTCACGTATATTGCCACATGCTATAAACCATCACATTGTTTAATAGCCATTCATGGATTTTCCTTTTGATTTGTAATGAATACTAAGCGGAAAGAAATCTTATTTACATTTTTTCAATATTGTGACGATACCATTATAAAGAAGATTTTATGTGTGTTTGACCATTTTAAGATATACAGATTTAACATATTGCACAATTTATGATATTAATTTTCCATACTTGTTAAACTATGGAACGAATTATTTGTATTTTAAGTATGAAAAAGGTAATCTTCTCTATACAAATGGAGAGTTTTTTAAGTCTTATCAACTTACAATATTTTATAATTTTATGTGTCAATTTATGTTCGAAGTAAACCATATAGTTTTGAACATTTATTTATGTGTATTAACACTTTTAAATTATATAACACTGAACGTGGTGCCTTAGTTTTATGCATCAAACTTTGATGGTTCAGAATTTATTTTCTATCAATTTTGTATATATAATATATCAAATGAATCGTTCATTCTCTATAATTTGACATCTAAAATAAAAAATAATTATATTTTACCGTAAGTAAAAATTTAACCATTCTAATTAAATAGTAATAAAATTATTATTTATCAATTACAAATTTATCTATTAAATATATTATAGTACAAGTATAAAATTTATTATAACAAGGATGAACAAATTTTACAGGTGTATGTATAATTTTAAATAAAAATAATAACACAATTTAAAAAATAAAAATAAAAACGGCATAAAAAACTTTATATACATTTTAAGAAATTGAAATATAAATTTATTAAGTAACTTGGGTGAATAGAATAAAGAGAGCTTGCAAGTCTTATGGGTCAGAGACCACTAGATGTTGGTTTTTGAATGTGAATAGAATACTTACAAGAGAAAATAATCTTTATCATCCAACTACGAAAATATATTAAGTTTTTCACACCATCTGATAATAAGTTAATTTTTTTACCACAAAAAGTGCGAAGATATTAAAACATAATGCGATAGACATGCAACAGTTATACGACCCATTCGATAACCCTTCACACTTTATGTGGTGAAAAAGTTAAAGTGTAGAGACATTGTGTATGAATATTCGACAATTATTCGGTCCATTCACATAACCTCTCTCCCGGATTTATTAATCATACAGCAGCAGGATATAGGACGATTTAGTTACGAGCCGAATCCAATCCATCGGACCAGTATCCGTATTAACAAACATGGGATTGAAGGATTCATGAGATTATCCCATCCAATCACACACAACATACAGGGCCTTAAAGTGCATCATGTCCAGATGACAAGACACTGAAAATACTAAGAAACCCGAGAACTTGTACATAGACATTTACTATTGGGGAACGAAACAACTACAAGGTAAGCCGGCCCAAAAATATATCTACTCATTTCACAACTCAACCATATTGCCAAGGGCACAATGAATATTTCTCACAAATAGATTCTGGCACTCATTTCACTGTACTCCAAGATTCACAAAAATATACCTGGAAATGTCCACATTAATTATTAACGAGCGTAAACAGCTTTACAAGAATAGACAAAAGATCGAGCAGTTAAGTTGCAAATTACCTTGGCCGATGTTCTACTCCTAATGCATGGGATTGCATTATCTAGCGTCACAATCTGAACGAAAGCCAGTGTATTCTTCATCATCAATGGCAGCACAAAGAGCTTTCCAGACTGGAACTAGCATCGTGACAGGAGGATATATTTCCTGTACAATGACTTTATATAACTAACAATTACAACATTTTGTCTCAACAGCAAAAAAAAAAAAAGAAAAGAAAAGGATAATCACTTGTTTTCTGACATTGTTTGATTTGTCTCAACAACCAAAAAAAAAATACTCATAATACAACAGATAAGTCTCAAATTTTGTTTCTTCTACAGTCCAAAAAACCATATTTAATAAATATACCTTAAAAACCAGCAGAAGTTCTTCCTCGTTGCGTAGAATTAGAGATAAGCTCCAGTAGCAGGTAACTGGAGTCACACATTCATTCAGGACAGGTTTCAATATCTTGCCAATTGGTACAAAGTGGTGAACCTTTTTCCCACTGATTCAAACAAATCAAATAATGTCAGAAAACAAGTATTGGACTCGTCAATGTTAAGTCGACCGACCGAAAAGCACATATGAGGCGGTCATGTCTAAACTAACAGAGTTCATATTTTTTTGGTAAAAAATTTGGACCATTTCAAGATTTATGGGGCTTCCTTGTACAGGGTTACTTTAATTTTCTCTTTAGGTCCAATTTTAATGGATGTCACCAAAAGGAAAAGAGAAGCACCAACTCATATTATGATGAAGCAATGGTGCAGTCACATACAATGCGAAAACAAAGCATTTCTAAAGGAATACCTTCTGTAAGTGGTCTCAAGCTGAACCCCAAAAGCAGGCAAAATTACAACAGACTCTGTTACAAAGCAAAACAAGAAAGTATAAGGTGAACTGGTGAAGGAAAAGAAAATGAATTTCAACCCCATAATAAAACACCATTTCAATTGTTTTTTCCCTAAGAATAAATTTTTCGTGTTATCATTGCAGGATACTGATCAGAAAGTATATCCAGTGACAAGATCATAATATGACCGATCAAAATAATAGGATTGTGCCCCTGGGCACGATTCAAAGTCTTTCACGAGCAGAAACAGCTTTGTCAAATTTTAGACCTCTAAACTAGTGAAGGGGCGACAAACATCAACCACTGTTAGCACTGGTGAAAAATGAGCCACAGAGCAAGAAAACCCTGAATGTATCAGATATCACAAAAATATATAGAGGACAACAGAGTTTTTTACACATAAAAGGCTCACTTTTTGAGTTATAGACGTTTGTGCAGACAAGAAAGGCACAAAGGCTGAGAGGACATATTCACCTAGTCAAGCATGTGATTCGCATTACTTAAGCCACACCGACATAATCATCTGCTCACACCTCACCTTTCTCAACTTGCTGTCCCAGCAATTGCCTCAAAAAGAAACCAGCTAAAGAAAAGCTCCATAGAACACTAGCAACTGCCTTGTCCGGCATCAAATCTTGGCAGAAACTCGTCATATTCTAGATATTATAAGAAAATGTTATTGATCTATGTATAAAGCTGAATTATTGCTATAACAGTAAAAGCTCCAAGATTCTTCACGAAATACTCATAAACCATGTAAAATGCATACTAAAGATTTTGTAGATCAAGATAAACTTCTTGCTTCCATACTAACATAACTTAGCATTCCACTTTTCCAGTGTGCACGATTGTGGACTTCAATCAAGCTTAAACTTGACAGTTATTGGCATGAAATTCTTAAGAGGAATATACAAGTTTAAAATAAAGGAGATACGACACACAAGGCTACATCATCAGTATTGATAAAAAGTCGAATCCCACATGGGCCTAGATCTTGTCAAGTGAATTGTTGCAAGAATTAGTATCCTGTCATACTCTTACTACTACTAATGGACATGGAAACATAAAACTAAAAATGTACCTGCAAGAGTAGGAGAATAAGAGAACTGATGATAGAAAAAACGAGAGCACATGTGCAGAATTTGTAACCCCTCGCAATGCCTGTTGCAACCATGATATGGTGAACATCAATGGCCTCAGGCGTGCCCTTCTTCACATCATGTACATATATACATCGTCCTTTTTTGATAAACGACTGCTCCATATAAAATTTTGTCGTCACAGTCTTCAATTTGAATTCTGAAATGAAATGAGGAAGGAATCGGTGAACTATGGTGAGTAAGTGAATATCGAAAAAAGGAACCTCATTTTGTAGGGTTTACTTATTCCGTGTGGAACCAACAATGCAAAGTATAGTGATTTGATAAGCCAAGTTAAAATGTGTTTGTCCAACTATTGAAATCATATTTTAGACATCTTCAATTTAATTTACCAGACTAATTCATCAAAGTATTAATTTCCTAATGCATCATATGTAGTTCTAGACTAAATGTAATTTTCATTAAAGAACCACCAATTGCTAAAGTAGTTACTCTTACACAGTTTACAATAGTAATTAAGATAAGTAAAGAGGTGAAAAATGAAATGCAAATGAAAACCCAGTTGACTTAAGTGCACCAATTTGACAACTATGGAAAAGTCGAAGCAAATCAAGTAACATAGGTATAGATGTTTCTGATCAAGGTATTTTTTCGAAGAGAAAGAAGAACCGTAAAGTCGTTTTGATGGATGAGAATACAAAACAAGGTCATTTTATGAGCATTTATTGTGGCAACAAATTGTTGCAGCCAATGGGGTTTGGGTTGGGTTTTACCCGTCGGCTAGTCGGGTACCCGAATTGTTGCAGCCGATGGGGTACTTTACCTGCTTACCTGAATCTCACTGATTACCCTACACCAGACCCGACCCTGTACATTAAATTTAAAGAAAAAAAGAAAAAGAAAAATGCACATGAATTCAAGCTCACCGCCATAATTTTACCACGAGAAAGATAAGAATTTACAACATATAAGCAACAAATAGAATAATGGCAAAACAAGGTAATTCTAGAAGCAATTGAAAAATACAAGTTGATTGTAGACTAGGTTCTGAAAAGCTGGGTACAACATGAAAATAAACCTATTGGGTACACTGATGTGTATGAATAACCAACACAGGAGTCGATGAACAGCAATTTCACTTCAAATTTCACAATTCAACGTTTCTTATGAAAAGATGTGAAGATTTACAATTCAAAGTTTCATAAAATTAATTCCAATCTCGACGCAATTTCACTTCAATTTTTTTGGCCCCAGCCCCCAATTAGTTCCACAGTTTTCACTCTTTTTTCGGCCACAATTTTCACTACCTCTGCGCCCTCACCATTTAAATCAAACAAGATTAGAAGAAGAAAAGGGCTTACAGTGTATTTCGTTCCGTGGCCCCTGTATTGCTTGATTGTTTGCGGATGCTCCACCTTGGGGATAAGTACAATCAGGTCTCATTCAAAGCCGAATCGCAAATAAGTTTCATGGTTTCCCCTTTTGCACTAAGAAAACTTATTCTGGGAATTACGCAGCCTTCTGGAGAAATTGTTGCCGTGGCCGTCCAGAGCGGCCCGAAATCAGTGGCGGCCGTGACTGAGAGAAGCGGGCAGCGACGGGGTGGGGAGATGCGAGATGAGATGAGGGACAGGGAGAAATGTGACGGGGGTGGCGAGGGTCTGTGAAATTGTGATTTCGCTGATTTGGCAAACGCAGATGTATTCAATTTCTCTGCCTTTTATCTCAAACCCAATGAATCTGAAGTTCTGAACCAATATAGATTATGAAATTGTTTTTCAGCTTATTTTTGTCTAGTAAAATTAACTTAAGTAAAGATTAGATAGTTCTAGGGCTGCACAATCGGTCAAAACCGAACCGAACCGACCGTCCAGTATTAAAACCGAAAACTATGGTTCGGTTCGGTTTTTAACCGAAAATTTATCGGGTTTTCGGTTCGGTTTTTGATTATCCGATAAAATTGAGAAATGACAAAAATAAAATTTACACCAAGATTGTGAAACTGAGACACATTTAGTGAAATGAACAACTCTCAAATATCATCAGAATCCCATTCAAGATAAGCCCATCAGAAAATAGACAAAAGCCACAACCGTACATCATTCGAGGAAGAAGGAGCTCAAAGGGACTCTAAAAGTCAGTAACAGAAGCAAAATTTGGACTTCATATCGCAGCAACAATTTGGAAACCCACAAGCCACAACTGTGCAGCTCAAATCATAGCCCCAACTGTTTCGGTCGGTTTCGATCGGTTAACCACAGTTTGTGCAGCCCTATTAGATACTCATGACCCAATATAAAAGGTAAGTTTTAGACAAATGAACTAAGTGGATTTTAATGAGTAAAGGTAAAGGGTTATGAAGACAAATTAATTCACTATAATTAAATTTTTGGAATTTAATTTTACAAATCTATACTTATATAAAAAACAATCTCATTTACTAGAATTAGTAGGAAAAAAAGTCAACTCATAATTAATTGCACACCATATTTAAAAAGTTTTAGATATTTTAAATCATAAAATAGAATAGCATTAAATGCCCCTAAATTATGGATTTTGTTGAATTCATTTTTGAAAATTTCGACAAATATTGAAGTGAATATGAAATTCAAAATCTCTTCTCATTTTATTTTTAATAAAATCTGCATCCAAGTTTACGTGTGATTTTGAAGTGAAAATTTGAAATTCAAAATCTCTTCTCATTTTAGTTACAAGAAAATCAGGCTTCATTCAACACTTGGACCAATTTAGAAATTATTCCCTAAATGAAAGAATTTATAGATAATTGTTATTTCTACTCAATCACATGATTCTTTTCAATATAAAAAGAGACAAATTACAAATTAGTGAATCATATATTACCTAATTCAATATCTTAACATTAAGGAATAAATCCATAGTATTATGTAAATCCGTATCTCATATTATATATCATTAAGAATATATTATAGTTATATTATCAAATCATAAAAAGATATTAAATCCATATTGTAAAAAAAATAATTCATATAATTTTATAACAATTCTACTAAAATTAAATTTTTATTAATATAAATCTTTGAGTGAGATAATATATGAATTATTTTACAAGCTAGCCCTAACATGATCATATTTAATATTCTTGCTAAAAAACAACATTGGTTAAAAAATATGGAAAAAAAACTTATAATATCCCTATTGTTTTTTAGACTTAACGTTGATTAAAAGAGATAGAAAATATATAATAACCCTATTATTTTTTAGATTTAAACGGACAAGACTGTAAAAATAACTCATTTAATATTTCTGTCTCGTGCATCGCACGAAGTACATACTAGTTTGAATTAAGCTCAAACCCAATTTATTCCCCCTGGTCTTTAAGAAAATGTTGGTTTATTGTGGACTGGCAGTTAAAAAATGGAACCACCATTTTAGAAACAGGCTGTATTAGCCAGTTTCAAATTTTCGGTTAACCGTAACATTGCCAGTTAAAAAATTGGCGGTTTCTAAACCGTGAACATGTCTACTTCATAAGTGGGGATGATTCACTGATTTGCATTCCTTTCTTCCTTAAAAATTCAATATATTAAAGGCCTAGGTGTTATTTGTATTCCTTACTTGGTTATTTTCCTTCAAACTTCAATATGTTAGAAGCAACCGAAGTTACTTTGACGTGGAGAATATCAAGTTATTCAAGATTGAATCAGTGGAATGTTTTGCTAATTCAGGCTGATAGTATGTGAAGTCCCTAACCTAACATAATCTATACTTATATAATAAGAATTAACATTTATCCAAAATAGTAGGTCAAATTATGGTCAATGTCGGATTTGCATTAAATATTTTTTAAAACCGGTAAGTTTTTGTCATTTTCACACTTCTCATTAATTATGTCCCTTTCACACTTCTCATTAATTATGTCTTTTTCACGCTTCTCATTAATTATGTCCTTTTCACACTTCTCATTAATTATATCCTTTTCACACATCTAATTAATTCATTAATTACGACATAATTATCATAAATCATTCCATCTGAACTTTTATCGTTAAAATGTATAGCGATCTGTTATGACCTTATCCCATTGATATTTCCATGAAGCGTTGTTATCGCATTCTATTTTTTGGTAACCACTCTATATCAATAACCGGATATTTGGTTAATGATAGCACACGTCTTTATTTCAAGGAGTGAATATTCTTTGACCATTAACTAATCTTAACTGATTGCCTTGACTTTTCAATTTTTAAAAACTCTTTTTTTAAATATTTCGGCTTAAGATTCGGATTTCATTATACAAGTCATCGGATTGTTTGAATGAAAATGAATAAAAAGAACAACAAAAACAGGTAGCCTTATTCATATAACCAATCCTAAAATATTAGTTTGTTCACCAAAAAGAGACAAATCCTAGAAATCCTAAAATATTAGTTTGTTCACCAATCTTAAAATATTAGTTTGTTCACCAAAAATATTAGTTTGATTTTTAGGATTTGTCTCTTCTGAAAATATTAGTTTGTGATAATGAGGAGTTACCAAATAATTAAACTCATAATGTTGTGTTGTGTACAAGGAGGTTTTTAATAATATATGATTGTTACCGAACTTTTATGATTCAACAATGTTCATATTAATTTTAATGATTTCAATTTCGATCCTAATGCACGTGAGGTTATATTATTCTTCCAAATTTTACATCCCGTGCATCGCACGGGTTACGTACTAGTTGTCAATATATGAAATGAGACAAAACAAAGAAGCATAATGGTGGGCGACTGATGAGACATTATTACATTATATGCTAAATGGGAGCAATCGATCGGCAATCGGCATTGATGAGTTTCAGGGACAAAAATAAAAAATAACATCATCTAACAACTTTCACTTGGAAAATAGAAAACTAGGTTTAAAAAAAAAAAAAAAAATCTTCACACCATTCATTCGTATACAACAACTATTACTTGATGTTCGTTATTTCATTACAATGTAACATCACATCATACTACGCATCTCTTAAGTTGAAACTGCACATCGCAAAAGCGTCCAATCTGCTCAATTGGAATTTCACAAATGCAAATGTACACAAAAGAGTACATGCTTACCAAAAAAAATTGACATTTTCAAGTATTTTACTAGTTTTAGTATAATATGTCAAATGAACGATGTAAAACCAGCTAGAGCCAAAGATGGTACAGACTACATAAGCTACACGTAGATCAACTTTCTGAAACAGTAAGTGCCAACAAGAAACCACCCGACTAGAACAAATACAAAAAGGGCCAAATAAGTGAGGAAGGTTTCTCCTCCAAATGCAAGCCCAAGGCCAGATACCACGACAAAAGGTAAATAGGTCTTAAGAATGGCAAGTTTACTTATGAATCTTCCCTTGATGAAAATAAGAAGAGCCAGGTTTACCACGTTCCAGCCTCCGGCATCAAATTTCAACCTGTTCAGACAATTTGCCACAAAAGAATGGCAGTTGCAGGTTAAGATGTTGTATGATTGGTGTTGATACTCTTGCGTGCTTTTGCGTAGTGCATCATCCCAAGATATTATCTCCGTCCTTGCTCCATTTTGTATATGATCGTTTTCATGGTCATGCGTGTGGGAGTTGAGCAAAGTGCGGCACTGCAGGATATAATTTGGAGCATATAAATTAGCCCAAATCACCGAGAAAAAAAAAAAAAAAGAAAGAAAAAAAGATAGGAAACAACAAGAAAATTTGATAGGATGAACTTAAAACAAACTGTTAATAATATTTCAGCTAATGGTTTCAGACTGGATTTATTGTGGTGTATATCACAGTGAAATAGGACTACATGTTGGGAAAGAGCAAAAATAGCAAATGACACTAAAAGAAAGTGGCTGTAAGCTTTTGGCTAAAATGAAATTGCTATTTCTCAGATGGCAATTTCTGCTTCTGGTTCTTCATGATTAACCAGAACCTAAAAGCTACAAAAGGGCACTTTAAATTTTGGATTCTATTTCTAGCCTGAATTCCATAAAATATAATTTAACTTCAATTTGTGCAAGGACTACAATAAATCAGAAACTTCTATAAACACTGAAAAACTTGAGAACTAAATCAACTCGCAATACTCAACTCGTGCACTTTTACGATGATTAATTACTTCACCTAAAAGCACCCTAAGGCTCGATACATAAAAAAAAACAGGATAGAGTTCCATTTCTGTAAAATGAAGTTTTTTCATTAGGAATCAAAATCGATCATCACAGTTAAAATTAATCAACTCTACCTGCTCTTTGGTCAGTTGAATGTAGCGAGTTGGGGCACCGAACGCAAAACTATCGACGCAAACGAAATTAGGCCCGGCAAAATCCAATATGACTCCATCCTCTCTACATATTCCAATGTGTCCAATACAAGGGAAAAACCATGACATGAAGGGAAGGGGAGACCATACAATGCAGCAAGGGAACCGACTTCTTCCTGGATCAATTTGCATCGACTCAGTCTCATTTTCTTCAATCATCAAACTATGCTCCCCATTTGATACCATTGACTGGAGAGGAAATAAAAGAAAACGAAAATGAGAAAGAAATTAAATAAAACCGATCAATTTCCCCAAATCATGAAACACAGGGGATGCTCACAAACCACCGCTAGAGGATCTGTTTGGAAAGGCAAACGAATTATTGGAGTGCAGAATATCATCGGAGGACATTGGAGTAGATAACATTCACGTATGCGAAGAATTTCCAAACCCTAATTCTGATTCAAGTTCTGTAACTTTAAACTGGTTTGGGATTCGAGAAGGGGTTACCCTGAGCTCGAGAGAGAACAACGCTGTTGGTGGCACGACGTTCGAGGGGGGCTACTGTAACAGCAGGGGCAAATCGGAACGGACGACGTTTGGATCAGCAGGACTGGGGAAAACCTTCTCAATTTTGATTTGGGCCTGAATTTTTATGTACATAAATTAATTGGACTCGATTTCAACGTGCAATACATTGTCCTTATAATATTGTTACGGGTTGTTTTACTTATCCAAAAACAACCCAACATATTTTACTAATTAAATGTTTGGTCCGTTTTCTTCTCAAAAATTGCCCCACCTTTATTTCTGTGTGACCCATTTTCCTGTGCATTATTTTATATCATTATTTTATATCATATCAGGATAATTGTCATATCTTTAAAATTTTGTGTAAAACAAATTAATTTTGTATGACATTTGCGATACATTTATATTGAAATACAAATCTTTTATACGATATATGTGTGTTCAATATACTAATTATTTACGTTCATTTATATTTCTTATATTTCGAGACATTCGTGTTACACTATAAATCATAATACCCATGCTAACATGGCACAATCAAAGTCTATATTATACATTGTTTAACGTTCAAATTTCTTCATATCTTGTTTGTAAAATTTTAACATTTGATTATTATTATTGTTACAAACATTTTATAGCATTTATCTATTTATCAAACATTTACAAGACTTGATAAATAGTATACTGTCCACCCACGCGAGTCTTTTATGTGACTTGTACAATCTATATCTATATATATCTAAAAAGGTTGATGTAAAAATCCTTTTTTAGAAACCTAAAAATAATTGAGTTGACTTTTGACTTTCTAATTATGTATTCTACTTTAAAATCGGAAGAAAAATCGTGAAATTGATTGTACGTTGCAAAAATCATGGGACTTACTATCTATCCAAATACAATCCTCACTTTTGGTTAATAAAAAATATGTGAAATTGATTGTCTGTTGGGACTTACTATCTATCCAAATACAATCCATAATTATCTTATCACTTTTGGTTAATAAAAAATTGTATAAAAGGATATTCACTACCACCATTACAACCCAAAAAATACAGATAATAATTTTTCATCGCATATACAATATAATATAATGCTTCCAGGCTGGGGTACACAATCCATAATTATCTTATCACTTTTGGTTAATAAAAAATTGTATAAAAGGATATTCACTACCACCATTACAACCCAAAAAATACAGATAATTTTTTTTTGCCTCTGAGAGCACCCGCATTATTGAAACCCATCACGAACGACTGTTTCATTTACTTTTGTTATTTCAATTTTATATAATTTAAAAAATTATTTTAATTAATATTTATAAATTTGTATCGTAGGGTGCTTTCATTAAATGCATAATACGTTATCCGAATATGAGAGCAACAAACTTTATATAAACTGAGAGCAGTCTAATTTTTGTAAAATATGTAAACTTTAAACGTGTTTTTATATATAAAATTGTATATACTTTTAAACATGTTAGTTGGGCAAACTTTAAGGATATATATATGTGTGTATGCTAACTTTAAGTATATATATTTTTCTTATAAAATAGTCTAGACAGAATTGAGAGCAGTCTAATTTTTATAAAATATGTAAACTTTAAACGTGTTTTTATATATAAAATTGTATATACTTTTATAGTTGGGCAAACTTTAAGGATATATATATGTGTGTGCTAACTTTAAGTATATATATTTTTCTTATAAAATAGTCTAGACAGAATTGAGGTAATTTCACATTTTTCGATAATAATATAAAATATTTTAATACTTTCACATATGTTATATAATAGTCTACGTATTCTTAATGTCTTTTGGTTGTAACATTGTTAACACATATAATATTAGATACTTTTAAACATATTTAGATAATTTTTTTTACTCATTCTTTAATATCTATGTGCATAAAAAGAGAATAAGATTTATAAAAGATTTTCCGGCAATATACTAAATGTTAGATAAAAAATCTCATTTTATTTGTTATATAATATTTCGAGTTGCATTAATTTTGATTTGTATGTGTAAACTTGATAAGCGTATGAAAAGGAGCGTACGAATTACTGTAAGGATTTAAAAAATAAAAAATAAATCTAATTTTTTAATATTTTCTACTAACTTCTAAACGAATTTATGTCATAATTCGTCATAATTTTCCCACATCATGTCAATATTAATTTTATATATACTAGATAAAAGGTAAATCATTATCTCAATATTTATTCTATATACTAGTCAGTACCCCGTGCAATGCACGGGAACAATATTAAATTAACAATATTATAAATAGATCTCGAGTTTGAGTCACTGACGGAAGTGAAAACTACTATTGATCCTATTTAAAAAGAGGAAGAAAAAATAAATAATAATTATAAATTGAAAAGGAAAATAAACAATACTTAATAATAATAAATTAAAGATTCGGGGTCAAACAATTTAAAACTATTTTGTATAAGAAAATATGAAATTTACATTATGTTGTATAAGAGAATATAAAATTTGTATGTTTAATATTAAAAACACCTAAAATATTATATTAGTATATATGTAAAAGTATTTAAAATTTTCTATATTATTTTTAAAAGATGTGAAGTCACCTACAACTTTTCTAAACAATTTTAGGAGGAAAACATATCTAAGAACATTTGAATTTAACATTGTGTAAAAGAGATTTTTCTTGACTATTTTGTAAAGAAAACATGTCTACAAATATTTAAATTTAATATGTGTATATGTACATATATTTATATGCGTATGTTCTGTATAGTTTTTTAGAGATAATAATTCAACACGTGTATTTGTTTTAGGAAATGAATAACAATCTTAATATCAGTTTTGAATATTGATAAGGTGTATGAAATATCTTCTCCTTATACGATTTTGTTTTTGAATCTTAAAATCATCCCAAATATCTTCTCCTTGTAATACGATTTTTTTTTCTTCAATTTATCGTTAAAAAATATGTTTAAAAGGCGTGTGAAATGGGATTATTTCGTTACCATAAAAAATTAATAGTATGTGATAAGGATTACCATAAAAAATTATGCGATAAGGACGCTATCAATGAGGCGTGTGAATTGGGGTTATTTCATGAGAATTAAATCGGTATAATTAATGAGTTTAAAAGGCGTGTGAAAAAGACATAAATGCTGCGTGTGAAATGGACATAAGAGTTGGAAAGTAATAAATGCAAAACTGACTTTGACCATTAATTAAGTTACTAATTTGATAAATGTTAATTCTTATTATATAAGTATAGATTCTAAGTAAATCTTCTCATCTATCTCAACAGTCCGCATGTAGTATTTCATACTTTTCTATTCATAATCAAATATATCAAAGCTTCACAAATTTTACTTCACAAAGAAAGTGTTCAATAATTTATATTTTTTCCCTTCTTTGCAATCTATTTATTTTTGTTACATATATATAAATTATATTATTTTTAATATTTCACGCGTTAAACATTTGAGGAAAATATACCATCCCGTGAATCGCACGGGTTACGCACTAGTTTACTTTTTAAAACTTCATGATCGATGAGACTGATTTTGTAAAGTTCTTCAAGAACTCGCTCTGGTTATTCATTTTGTTTAGGTTGGGCGCCAGCTATCGAATACTCTCTCGAAAAACAGTCGGAAGAAGTTAATCCGTTTGAATTTGATTTGCAACGAGCTACCGACACCGATAAACCCTTCACGAAATGCAACCGTCCGAACGCCAGAAGCAAATCCCCGCTGCCGCCGACGTAATCGACCTCGACAGCAGCGACAGCGAGGACGGCGGACCCGCGGGTGGCCTTTCGCGTGCCAACAGAACCGGTAACGGCAAACCATCAAACAATGCGAAGTCGCTGACCAAGCCGCCAACGGAGACTCAAACAGCAGCCAGAATCAACAGTGGCGATGCGTCGTCGGGGAATTATCAGCCACTCGAGAGTCGTAGTTTCTGGAGAGCCGGAGCTTACGAGATTGGCCCCACCGTCTCTACTTTAGAGCAAGGTTCGATTTAATTCATTCTGTTTTATTCCCGATTTCCCTTTTGTTAATTTTGTTATGGGCGTGTAACCTAAATTATAGGTGATCTGGAGCATGCTCGTGTTCATCCGAGGTTTCTGCATTCAAATGCCACCTCCCACAAGTGGGCCTTTGGAGGTTATAATATATAATTTCTGTTCTTCACTATTTTTAGATGTCTGATTCAATGGAGGACTTCAGGCTGCAGTGACTGAAAATGAGATGGGTATATTCAGGATAAACTATAGTTCATGCATGAATAATTAGCCTATCATATATATTTTGTAATTACGTTTTTTTATTAAGCATATCATCAGTAGCTTGACCATATGTTACATTACCATAGTAAAGGCGTGAGAGAAGTCAATAGTAAAAGAAAGTAAAAAATTAGGAAAGATGCAGATGCTGTCGTCAGGTTTTTTAATACGTTTTCCCTTGACATGGATATCTTATTTGCAGCTATTGCTGAACTGTTGGACAATGCAGTGGATGAGGTAATTATCATCTACATTGTAATGACATGTCATCGTTATTTCCTCTCTGAATATTTTTGATGATGTTAAGGTTTTCAAATCTTTTTTCTGTATCACATGTTCCAGTTTTATATGATTATGAGCATAAGCTATAAAGTTTCTGCTTCCAGCTTTTGGGGCTTTCTCTAATTTAAAAAGTTAAAACATTCATTTGTATTTTCCTTAACTGCTGCACGGACTGTGAATTGTAGGTTCTCAAAGAAAAAAAAAAGCTTCTGTAAATGGATTGATCTTCTTACCAGTTGGTTAAATTTGATTACCTTGCGTCTTAGTTGTGAGATCTAGTTAGTAGTTGTTGAAGGAACTGTTTGGTTTTATAGTGAACAAACTCACAACGTTACTTGGAGTTGTTTCCTGTGCACTAAGGATTACTTTTACTTGTTCTAGGCAAATGACATGGTTTTATTACATACTCCCATCTGATACTGTTTTTTCCAATCTATTTGGGAAATCTTCAACAATTGAGTAGATCTTTGTCTTCATAATGGATGTCTATTCAGATCTGTCTCTTTGTAAGACCTTTTCCTTACTAAGAAGAAAAGTTATATTGGATTCTCCATATCTTCTTGAATGATATTCAAATGATGGATGGTTTATTTTTATCAAACAGTTTCTAAAGAAGGTTCCAACTCGTCTTGCAAAATGGTTGTTTTAACAATGATTGGACTCATAAAAATGAAAGAGTAGACGAAAATCAAAGAATTGAGGATGTAAGCATCAAAATGAAGTAATCAACAGAATAAGTGAATGGAACTTATTAAAAGCTAAAATGATTTGTAACTATTGTTTTGAAAGACCTAGTGTTGAAATAAAGTCTTTGACTGTAATAAAATTTATGGTGACTTGTAAAAAATAGATTTTCCATACATTTTTCTCACAGTACTACTACAGGTACTTGAGAATTATTTCATGAAACCAAGAGCAATTATAATTGTACAAATCTAAAGTTGATGTTGCTTACATTGAGGATAATTTTAAAATCAAGCAAACCTAGTGCACCAGTAAGTTTAGAAATGTGTAAGGTCTCATTGTGATACAGACATTCTGGTTTTTATAAAGCAACTACATTAAGTAATTCTTGTAGGGACTCATTGTGATACATTCTTTAGAAACTTAATCTGGTTACATTCTGTAATTTATTAAATGTGCATTCCATGGCCTAAATTTTGAAATTGAAGTACAAGTAAATTTAGAGCATCTTTAAGTTGAGATAAGTTTTCTGTTCAAGGTGATATTTTTTAATTTCATATTTCAAAATAGAATTGTACAAGAATATATCTGTTTCAATGCCTACGAAATATTCAGATCCTCGTAGAAGGAAAATTCTCTGATACCACAAACTTTGGCTGTGTCTTAAAACCAGATTGGCAACGGTGCAACATTCGTGAGGGTTGATAGGGTTTATAACACAAAGGACAATTCTCCTGCCTTACTTTTCCAAGGTGCTGGATCTTTTTAGTTTTATCTCCCTGTAAAGAAATAATGGCAGTGTTTCTTAACTTTGTTTATGCAAATATGTTAAAAGAATTTCCGGTTAATTGCAGATGATGGTGGTGGAATGGACCCAGAATCTATGCGGAAGTGCATGAGCTTGGGATACTCCTCAAAGACATCAAACAAAACCATTGGACAGTGTAATTTACTTATTCTGCTAATCTATGTTAACCACTGCTGGTTTTCTTTGTTTGGGTAATCTATGTTAATAACTGCTGGTTTCCTTTGTTTTGTTTTGATCCCATTCTCCTATCAAGTGCCACATAGTAGACAATGCACTTCTGACAGTGTTTTGCACTTTCCAAAAAGTGTTGTGCTTTCTTGTTTATCGAAATCGACTCTCTGCTTCTCATTCATCGAAGTCTGACATGTACTTGATGATTTTTACCTCTAAGTTTAACCTTTATTCATTCCAAAGCCCAAATATGTAGAAGTTTTTACATATTTTTCATCATTTTCCTTCCACGTAGCATTATGACCCAGATATATTTTTTCTTTATGGAGACTTAAACAACAGGTCAGGCTGTCACAAGACACCTTCATTACCCTAGCTGGTAGATTAGTTGGCCGAGAAACTTATGGAACGTATGTTATAGGTTGGGAGTTACAAAAAAGGCAACAGGATCAATATCATATTGTGATCCTACCTTCACATCTTAAATTGATTTGGCCATGTTGGCCAGTTACATGTTTCTTAAAGTGAGTTATCCTACTTGATTTATGCCAACTCTTCCTGTTTTATTATGGTCTTTGCATACAAACCTCACCATCCGATTCTCAGTTGGAAATCTGCAATCTGATTGTAGTCTGGCTGACAGTTTATCACTGTCTTGTATTATGCTTTAAGTATTTTTGATATTTTAATTAGCAATGTATATATTTTTTGAATTCTAAAGCTATCTATCCTATATCAGATGGTAATGGATTCAAAACAAGTACCATGCGACTGGGAGCTGATGTGATTGTTTTTAGTCGTGCATCTCGATCAGGGTATTAATTTCTTTTATAGTAATCTGTTACCTTATTTGCTTAATTTGAGCCATGGTAAACCTGATGCTTGCTCCATTTGAAATTTATTCTGGGGTCGTGCATCTGAAGTATTTTGATATCATGTACTGTCAAAACTTGGAACATGGTTTGGCAGATTTGTGTGTGAGAAATATTATTATAGGTGGGTAAAGAATGTTTAAAATCGTGATTTTTTTTAGTTTCTTTCCCTCTCATCATAAACTGGGTCAGCCATCTTTGAGGACAATGACTAGCAGCCCTAGATATGTACTTAGTGCTACAATTTCTGAGTTATTATGTATTATGGATACTGATCACATCTTTATGTTTTGGACTTGATCTGCTTTTGATTAGAGTTTAATTTATATCTTTTCAGTCGAGCAACCCAAAGTATCGGTCTCTTGTCCTATACATTTTTGCGGAAAACGAGACAAGATGATGTAATTGTTCCAATGGTAACGTCTTGATTCATAACAGCGCCTACCTAAATTTAAAACATTGGAAATTTCATTTTTTCTGCATTACTACTGCAATTCTTATTGGAATTATATTGCAGATTGATTTTGATACCTCTGACAGCTGGGCAGAACCGATTGTCTATAGCTCGAAGGATGATTGGTCCAGTAACTTGAAAACCATTATTCAATGGTCTCCCTTCGCGTCAAAGGATGATCTAATGCAACAGGTTCTATTTACATGTGAAGAGATATCCCCCTTCGTAAAATTTTAAATCAGTGGCGTTACCATATTGTGTTATTGATTGCTCACTGAACCCAATACAATGTTACTGAATATATTTATTTAACAGTCTGAATATGTCCCCTCAACATATCATTTCTATGCATAAAGTTCCTGAGTTGCGGAACATAGTCACTTTAAATTGTTACTATTTAATGGCATTGCATTAAATGTTCTCTTCACTAGTCTTTTCAACACTGACATTTTTGCGGAGATGCAAATGCAATTAGAAATGGTTTTTCCATATCTTTTATGTTTATCTTTTACACTCTGTTTTTATCTGAATTTTATGATTTTCTTAGTGATGTTTTTTTCTACTTTTATGGGATTGAATGAGTTCCTGACAAGTTTAAATTAAACCATCCAGATTAATGAAAGATTCTTGTGAAATTACAGTTTTACTCAGTTCTGTATCCATATTTCTAATTGCCATCTTCCACGTTATGTAAATTTATGTAATGCTAGATTTGGAGATTATTCCTCATTTTTTGTGATTGTGAATTAGAATATGGTTTACCTCCATGATTTTGGCCTTTATTTTATTCCCTGCTCTTTGTTAATGGATGTATTTTTATCATTCTTTCCAGTTTGATGATATTGGATCACATGGGACGAAAATTATCGTATATAACTTATGGATGAATGATGAAGGCATTTATGAATTGAATTTCGATGATGACGAGGAGGTACTGATGTCTTTACCAGTCGGAGGGATAATTATAGTGTTTGTAGCCGGATTTTGTGGTTGCATGACTATTTTAGTCTGATATGCACGACTTAAATTTATTTGTACACAAGCATAACTCTCTTTTCCTAATTTTGGATTTTCTAAATGATGTTATATTTGGCCATTAATTGAGACTCCAAGTATCTTGCATCTGATTAGCAGAGACTTCGATTTGGACTCTCTCTATTTGAACTTTGAAGTTTTCCATTCCTATAAGATGGTGCTGAAGTAAGTTTGAATTCCCAGGAACTCTATCATCAAAATCGAACAACGGACAAGGATTTGATAGTATTACTTGTTGGGTAGTGTCAAGATATTGGAAATACTCAGTGTAGGAAGAGAAATTTTTATCGTGTATCTTTGTCTTCTAGTATTTATTTGTTTGTTGGGTCGGGCCTTTCTCTACTAGTTGGAGATGTCAATACCTAAGATGTCTAAATTGGATTGTTAGGCTTTTGAACCCTCTTAAGATGAAAAAGAAAAACCTATTCCTGTTATTTAATTTCCTTATTTTCCTTCCACGTGAGTGCTCATGTTTTACCATCAGAAGAGTAACAGACAAAGAACATTGTACCATCTTACCAGAGTTTATGAACACAAGGGATTGGTGCTTTCTATTTTGACGTTAATGCAGGATATAAGGCTGAGAGACGAAGCTAATCAAGGAAATGTATCCAAAGCTACCAAGAAAACCCTTGAACTGCAATCTCATTTGTCCTACCGCATACGGTTCTCATTGAGGGTGTGTACTTTTATTTTGTTTCTTCCTGTTAATTGTTTCCAGTAAGTATCACTATAGAACAGATATTGGTGTTGGTCATTTTGAATTAGAAGTCGAAAATGGTGAGGCTTTGAGTACATTACTTTGGAAGTTTCTTATGATGAATGTTATCTTTGTCTTGAGATATATGTATGATAGCGGAATAGTTTTCATGAAGCTACAGCTGTAACTAGGGTAGAAATAACTAGTCAGTTATTTTCGGAACATGGAATTCTTTTATCTACCTTTGAAGTTTTCACCACGTGGCTTTTGGGTGTCTTAGAATATTTGTTATTTGACGAGTTCAGTAGTGTTTTGAAAATATGTCGCGACTTTGACATTCAATTCCGTTCACACTAGACATTTGTCTGTTGTGACCGTTAAGCAAGTCCCGGTAATTTTATTTGATTCATTTATATTTGCTTATGGATCTATACAGAGTTATAACAAACCTTTTCCTCAGGCATATGCGTCAATATTGTATCTCAAAAAGTTTACGAACTTCAATATAATATTAAGAGGGAAGCCTGTTGAGCAGTTCAGCATTGCAGATGATCTGAAACACTCTAAAACAATCAAATACAGCCCCCAAGTTGGCAATGGACTGAAAGAGGTATATTGCTTTTATTTAAGTTGACTTTGTACTGTTAGACTCATAAGATGTATAACTTTTTGTGTTCACGTGGATGTCAATCTGGAGAAACGTGTAAATAGCATATCCAGTCTAGAAACCCATGCACAAATTTAAAGTCTTCGAATGTTTCATTTTTTTGAGGAGTAGCGTGGAGATTACTGCATGTTATCCAAACTAGATGACACCTTCACACCCATTTTATGGCATCTATTATTGATCGAATTGGTACTATCACTGATTACTGAACAATTTTATTTGCGGCTATCCAATTATATGCGTGCTTTAAAAGATGCATTGGCAAGTACTGTTTAGGTGATTATTTTTCAGTTGATGCTGGAAACCTTAATTTTTCTTTGAAGTAATTCCCCCCTTCATGGATGGCAATTGGCACAGGTGACTACGGAGACCATCATTGGCTTCATTAAAGAAGCTCCTGCACTTGGAGTTTGCGGATTCAATGTTTACCATAAAAATCGTCTCATCAGGGTATGCTACTTGATACTTCCTAAATAGTTTGTTTCTACCTGATATCTTTGGGACGTTCCCTCAATTCTAGATCTGGCTGGCAGTAAGACGTCCCATGTATTTTGTTTTTCTTGTAAAGATATGAACTGACTATAATTTCGACAACAGACCATAGGCGTGGTACCATGTTATGTTTTACTTGGGTTAAAATAATGTGTTAATTGGATTTTGTATATCATAACAGCCCTATTGGAAAGTCACTGCAGATGGATCATCCAGAGGAGATGGTGTTGTTGGTATGCTCACTCATCCAAAGTCCTGATACGAGTCTTCTTTATTCTCCTTGTGCTCCGTGACTAACTTCTGGTACTCAGGAGTTCTTGAGGCAAATTTCATAGAACCAGCGCATGACAAACAGGATTTTGAGAGATCAACTATATTTAATAAGCTGGAATTGAGGTTGAAACAAATGGTCATGGAGTACTGGTATCATTCTCACGCTTATTGCTCTTCTTTTCTTAACTTAATCTGTTTTTCATATGTTTAACCTGATGCCTGTTCCTTTTCTAAATCTAATGTCTCGTTATGCTTTAGTGTAAATGTTTTCTGGTTCTTCTAATGTGGTTGCTAATGCCTTCATGATTGGAGACATCTGATACGTTTGTCCCAAATTGGTGATTCTCTATTTGCAACTCATTTTCATTTCAAAAGTCCCTATGCATGCTTGTGAGCCTGCAATTATACTATTTGCTTTCAGATCTGGGGCAAGTACCAACACAGTTTTTAAATAATTGGTTAACTTCAATTACATCTGCTTGATCAAAGAAATTAAGCAGGATTCCTTTGTATCTTGTTTAGATATTTCTTCCATTGCCCATTAGCCTAAATTGATATGTTTTCCAGTTCTAGAGTTTCTTAAAGTACAAAAATTGAAAAAACTAAGCAACTTATATTGAGCATTCCATTTGGTGGGCTCTTGTGAGGCCTTGCATCTGTTTGAAATGCTCTCCTAATCCATTAAGTTCCACTTTCCTTTCTGTATTCAGCACTGTCTTGGCATATGCCTTCTCTTTTTCATGGTAAACTTCCTGCAGTGACATTATATGTCTTAATTTCCACATGCCAACTCAGGAGAGGTAACTGTTACTTAGTAGGATATCAGCCTGACGGTACGAGGAGGAGTGACATCCCAAATAAACTGCCTACACAAATTCAAGGTGATGGTAATGCAAAACTGATTCTGCATCTGGAAGTTGCCTGTGTTCTATTTAACCTCTTTATTAGCACCACCACCTGCTATTGAATACTTCAATTTGAATGGTGCAGCAAACAGAAACATATATGAAATCAATTTCAACAACAAATCAGCAAATGTTCAGTCAACTTTAAGTTCTGACGCTGTAAGTCCTATAATATTCTTACAAGTTTTTGTTGTGTCAGATATATGGAGACAGTGGTCTCCAGGTCTTGTTAGAAGTGGCCTCTTATTTCTGGGGATAACGACAGAAACTACTTTTCACGTTTGACCTCCCTACAGAAAAACCCAGTTATTCTATTGTTCCGAGATACAAATACAACCTTTCAGGTGTGCATTTTCTTTATGAGAACCCCCCCTGTCAAGGGTGTAATTTGTTCAATGAAACAAATGTAGTGGGGATATATGTACTTTTGAGATATATCTGGGATCTATTGTAACTAAACCAACCTTTACTATTTTCATCTAGTGTGTGTGTGTCCCTATGAGTCATTTGATCGAATGTCTATATCTATTTCATTTAAAAAGAAAGGACCATTTCGTTGTTTATTGTGGTTTAATGGAGTTTTTTGTAGGCTTCTCATCCAGAAACATCTCCAGATGACAGATCACTCGATCAGATATGTGAAGAGAACATCCAGCTGTTTATGAGGTACCTCAAGCATATAGTAGCTTGATATTTCTCATGCTACTTATAAACTTGTGCCACCTTAGAAATAGGTCAAAGATATGACTAACTAGTTTAACTTGTGTTCATGGCTTCCTAACATATCTTTGAACCTCTCCAAACAGGTGCAATGAGTATAAGTTGACGCAAGTTGAAAAGATTCAGAAGGTACAGAATCACTCTCTAGGGTTTAATCACGAAATATACTCGTAATGTTTTACTCTAATCACAAAAAAAAAAAAAAAAAANAAAAAAAAAAAAAAAAAAATCATGAATTCTTTCAAAATTACGAATACTCCCTTGATATTCGATACAACATCACATTGTTAAAACCATGCAAACATCAACGGCTAGTTTGATACATCTTGGGAAGTCCTTTGATCAATAGAAAAGAACTGTTTTATCTTTTTGTAATCAGACCAATTCTCATGCGCAGTGCTTGTGTAACTATCCCCTTTATTTATTTATTTATTCACGTCGTATTATTTTACAAGCATTTGACCATGTAAACTGGACTAGCTCTCGCATAGTACTTATCATATGTACATTTAACTACCCCTATTTTGTACTTTGGTGCAAATTAGATTGAGCAACTGGAAAAGGAGCTGGAGGAGACGAAAAACAAGTGTGCTAGGCTTTCTTATGACCTTGAAATACAGAGGAAACATAGAATAGTGACCCACAGATAAAAAGGCATGTTGATGATGGTAAAACTTGGCAGCTCGCTTTCGACTTGCTTGGAATGTTGGTTAGGAGATAAGATTACGGTTGCATGACCACGTACCTCTCTGAATGTATGTTGCGTCGTTTTTTTGATTAGCTATAGATATCTTAAAACGTCTCACTCATATTCAAGCCAATGATGTCATTGTTGTTAGTTGTATGAGTGCTTGATAATACTATGCGGTAATGTTGCGACTTGCGAAGTTATAGCTTCCAATCTTTGAAAAGCGGATTACAAGTGAAAATTTAAAATCACGATTTGTAAAGATCTTTGTTGGACTATCATGCCCATTCAAATTTGTGAGTACAAGTGAAAATTTAAAATCTCGATTTGTAAAGATCTTTGTTGGACTATCATGCCCATCCATTTGAAATCAGCTACCTCAACACCTTTAGCAAGCAAATTCCTTTTTAGTCGGGTAGCAGGAATCGAACTTGCATCGTTAGCTTGGAAGGCTAGGGGTTATAGTCGACGTCTATTCGGCTGTCTGTAAATCAAAATTGAACATGAAACTTTGCTTTTATTTTGCTCCTTTATGGAAGATGATTAAATTCCTAGATCGATGGGAACAAAATTATACTCATAAGACTTATGTCAGCTTTTTGTCTTAATACAAACATTACCAATCGCTTTCTAGATGATCATTTTCTAGAAGATGGAGGCACAAAGCTCCGCAAGGCGCGAAGCTGGGAAGGCGGAAGGGCCTCTGTCTCAGGACGAAGCCGAGAAAGGGGGGTTGCGAG